GTATTTTGTGACAGCCATTATGTCGTGATACTTCAACTGGGTATTTTGTGACAGCCAGGATGTCGTGATACTTCAACTGGATATTTTGTGACAACTGGTATGTTGTGTTACTTCAACTGGGTATTTTGTGACAACCGGTATCTTGTGTTACTTCAACTGGGTGTTTTGTGACAACCAGTATGTTGTGTTCCTTCAACTGGGTATTTTGTGACAACCATTATGTCGTGATACTTCAACTGGATGTTTTGTGACAGCCAGGATGTCGTGATACTTCAACTGTGTATATTGTGACAACTAGTATGTTGTGATACTTCAACTGGGTATTTTATGACAGCCAAGGATGTTGTGATACTTCAATTGTTTTTTGTTTGTTTTTGTGACAGCCAGGATGTCGTGATACTTCTGTATTTACATAAAACATACTTTCGACAATGCTTCCACACTATTATAGATCCATCACTATGTTTCATCCACTATTATAGATCCACCACTGTGTTTCATCCACTATTATAGATCCACCACTGTGTTTCATCCACTATTATAGATCCATCACTATGTTTCATCCACTATTATAGATCCACCACTGTGTTTCATTCACTATTATAGATCCACCACTGTGTTTCATCCACTATTATAGATCCACCGCTATGTTTCATGGTTCGCGTCCCGTTGCCCGTTAAAAAACGCGCTCCATACTCTGGGGCCGTGGGTGCGCTATACGAGTGATGGTTATACCCCACTATTCGGACAGGTAATAGAAGTCTAAGAGTTGGCGGTGAGTGCTGTAGATAAGCTGCCTCCAGTTAGCGTGGAGAGGCCCTTGTGTAGTTTTAAAGCAATATCCGAAATGAATGAACCTTCCGCAAAATCAACAATAGTCATAAAGTAATTAGAAACGTGCTCACAAGGATCTGTCTTTACACTGTTTAGTAAATTTCTAAAATAACAAACCCCTTCTCTTATTAAACTTTAAACTCCTAATTACAGGTCTCGTTACAAAAACAAAACATTCCACTAAAACATGGCGAAAACAGCAGCATTTGCTATTTCTCAAAAATTCTTTGTTTTGTTGTTTCTAAAACAAAGCCACATTGGGCTATCTGCTAGGTCCACTGCGGAAAATCGAACCCCCGGACTTTAGCCTTTAAAGCCAGCAAACTTATCACTGTCCAATCGGGGGACCATGACGGTAACTTGAGGGCTTTTAATGCTAAGGTAAAGGTAGAATCCTTGCGGTGGGCACATCGCAGGTAGCCCATTTCACAGTTTTGAACGTAACAGCAACGCTAAAGTAAAGGTAGAATCCCTGTGGTGGGCATAGCGCGGGTAGCCCATTCCACAGCTTTGAACGTAACAGCAACGCTAAAGTAAAGGTAGAATCCCTGCCGTGGGCATAGCGCAGGTAGCCCATTCCATAGCTTTGAACGTAACAGCAACGCTAAAGTAAAGGTAGAATCCCTGCGGTGGGCACAGTGCAGATAGCCCATTCCACAACTTTGAACGTAACAGCAAACAAATAAGTCTTCTAGTTTCTTTTTAACTATTTTATTTTTTAATCCGGCGCGTCCGTAATTAAAACTTAACAACTGTTGCACTTTGTAAAACAAATCCATTTGTGGTCATCACGTTGTAATTGTTTTTATTCTGGAAACAGGGTTTTAAAAATTGAGTAAGATTCGACATTGCTGTAAAATTTAGAATTCTAACGACATTGTGTGTGTGTGTTTTATTATAGCAAAGCCACATCGAGCTATCTGCTGTGTCCACCAAGGGGAATCGAACCCCTGATTTTAGTGTTGTATATCCGAAGATTTACCAATGTCCCCCTGGAGGACAACGACATTGTTCACAGCTAAATCACAAAGAATTTGTTAGTTCTTCAGTTGGGTACTGAACCTGGTCTGCTCTAACGGTAGCGTGCCTGAATCTTGAATCCAAGGATTCGCGGATCGTGTCCCGTTGTCACAAAATTGCTCTCTACGTTAACCACTAAGCCACATCAGGCCCTTAGAAAAGTTACTAAACACGTTATTTCTTTTACATTTTCTATATCAAATAGCTCTTTAAATATAGTCAATCTAAAGAAAACAATTTTAAAGACGTTGTTTTCCTACTAGCCACAAATACTAGCAACTTACCATAAACCACGCCTTCTTTCTGAAAAGCTCCATACTTAGGGCGGGGTTTCTTTGGTGACTGGAGCCTCGCCTTAATGTTACACTCTTGCTTTGTAAACTTAGTGTAGAGACACACCTTGCGTAGATACAAACACAACATCACAACAGTGGCACACGCTAAATTGGCCACAACGATCGTGAGGTCTCGATATTCTGGGTGTAGATGGCTGGAGACAACAGTCCAAGCAAGCCAGACCAAAATTATTACAGCACAACTAAGAAGTATCCAACGGGGTTCCCTGTTGCCATCTGAGCATTTCCATGTTAAGATGGAGAAAAAAATGGAAAATGCCAAGAGCAGAATCACGTATACCAAAGAGATAACCAGCTCGTTCTCGAAAGTAGATGGAGGGGAACATCTCCAGACCTGGCTGTATTCACCAGCTTGAGGAGGTCGCAACGCTAGCCAGGCTGTGGTCAGTAAGACCTGAATAGTGACCAGGCCCACGATCATTATCAGTAGGCTAGTTGGAGTGTTGAAGCGAGATCTGTCGCTGAGACTCCTTCCGTTCTTCTTGTCCGTCAACTTCCAAGCGTTCATTACGGTAGCCAACATCCCAGAAACGATGAATGTGTACGCCATGCTCGTGACAAACAGACGTATACCACAAGTATAAGTCGTTGGCAAGAGGATGAAAGCAAAGTTTACTGCGTACAGAACGAGGATTCCGAATAAAATGACGTACCCGAGGACTGTGTTCCCGTTTGAAACCGGAAACGCTACCAGGAAGTAGAGGATGCATACAACCACCGTGCAGATACCGAAGAGAGATAGGGTTGTGACTATTATCCCCCAAACAGTATTGAAGTTTCTGTAAACTGGGACTTTGTGGACCACGCTTTCGTCACGGTCTGTGTCGTATGTACACTTCTCACAGCTACCGTAGCACACTGATGTAGGAATATTGCCGTAGGAGGTCACGTAGGCCTCGTAGAGGTCAAGGTTATAGTTTTTCCATAGTCCAATCTGCAAAATAAAAAAGAAACAGGAACTAATAAAAGAAACCAAAAATGTACGTGTAAATAATATTCTCCATTTTTAACATTTATGTATTCATAAATACACCTGAATTCTTAACTTAATGTGACGTGGCCCGACATGGCCAGGTGGTTAGGGCGCTCGACTCGCAATCTGTGGGTCACGGGTTCGAATCCCCGTCCCACCAAACATGATCGCCCTTTCAGCCGTGGGGGCGTTATTATGTGACGGTCAATCCCACTATTCGTTGGTAAAAGAGTAGCCCAAGAGTTGGCGGTGGGTGGTGATGACTAGCTGCCTTCCCTCTAGTCATACACTGCTAAATTAGAGACGGCTAGCGCAGATAGCCCTCGTGTAGCTTTGCGCAAAATTAAAATAAAAAATTAATGGGACGTGCCAAAGCACACTATATTTGATATGTGTTATAGACGGCAGAAACACTTTGAATTTGGAGGGGTGGGGGTACAAACCTCAAGGGATGCCTTTCCCATTTTTACTGAGTCGTCAACAATATATACTAGCCTTACATTGAACCAGTAAGAACGCTAGTAATTACAATCCGCCCTACATTTATAGGCTGTATTATATTTTTATTGTTATAATTTTTTATTTTGGAAGAGTGACACTCTACTAATTTACAAAACTGTGGGGGAAGGGGGTAGGTCGTGTCCCTGGTTCCCCCGCCTTTGGCACATATAATCTACTAGAACCAGCTTGAAAAGATGGTCTAAAGTGTAAGTTATTCCAAAACACCTACCTCACGATGGAAAAATTCTCCATCATCATTCTGAACTTTAAAAATCTGATACCCGAAAACAGACCCGTGTTCGAGATCTTCGCGCGCGCCCTCTAGATCCTGCAAAGCTTTACCGATTGCCTCTCCGATTCCTTCACAGGTTGTTGTGTTTGAAAACAGACTACATCCTTTGGCTATATAAGAACGAAGTGCACGTCCTATGGCTCTTACGGTCGTGATGGTGTGATAAACCTGATGGTCCTGTCGCAGGTCAGTAAATCGTTCCTGACCACTACAGACATCCGGGTATTGACGCTGAACAATCAAGCTGCTGAGCAGGCGACACCGGAAGTGATGTTGCCAAAACTCTTCAAACCACGAATCAGGAATCCGGTCGTGTCTAGCCAACGTCATTTGGGCGAGAAACTGACGGAATTCCTGAATGTCACGATTTTCCAGCTTCACTACTAAAGCGTTCATCGTCTTATTTTTCATAGCATTTTCAGTTAAATGTTCAGAATTCCAGCCTTCGGTTATGATCCAAACATAACGGTCAAGAATGTTCGATCTATCAGCAGCCTGTAAGATTACTTGCGTTGCCTCGGCGGTTTTGATCAGCAGAACAACAACTTTGACATTTGGATCTGATAACACACTTAACTCTTTTGAAAGGTCTTCTACGCTGTTGTCAATATCAATGCTTATGGATTCTGCGATGCAGATTTTGTGTTTCCTAGCAACTGTCGAAAACTCCGCATTGGCTTCCTTCCCAAACGCGTCATTGGTTAGAATGACATATACGTACTTCCAGTCATGTTTTACCAACAGCGCCACCACAGCCGACATTTGTAACTTCGGGGGTGACGAGATTGATGGAATCAATTCTTTGCTGACGTTTGACCACGTGGTAGATGTAACTACCTGAGGGATTAAATTTGCTTGCAGAAGAGGTGATACGTTGATGGCCACCTGGTGGTTGAAGGTTAAAGCTGCAACGACATTTTGGGATTTTGGGGGAGATCTTCTAAGTCTCTCTTCACTTTCTTCATCTAAATAACGGAACAGTTTTTCCTCAGCTCTTTGAACCCTGCCACAATCATCTAGAACGACCAAACCAAGATATTCCTCAGTTCTTTGACGACTGTTGTTGTTTATCTCATCCACGGCAAATATCAACGCCGCAAGGTTCTGAAAACTCTTTAGATTCAGTGATCCGCACGAGAAGAACGTCTCCCCTTTCCGGTGGACGGACATTAATGAGGTTAAAACGTAATTATTGTTTACTGAAATGCGCTTCATTGTTGATGACAGTCGGAAAATAATTCCTTCACCACACTTATTGTTGTCCAGACAGCTGGAGGTCACCATCAGAGGATTACTTTCATGACCGTTGTTGTTGTTGTTGTATCTGCTTACGTTCACGTTCAAGCCTTCTGCTTCCGTATAACTCCCAATCTACAGAAAAAAAATAAAGGATTAGGTTTAGGTTTCAGTTGCTGCATGCTCAGTTACAACTGAGAAATGGAAAGTTGCTATATTCTTTCAAATATAAATCACTTCAATTTCAATGGATCAAATTTATTTGGAATTCCTTTACACAAGACACGTACAATTGCGAAACGAAACAGGACACAATGTATAGAACGACAGTGATTTAAACCAAGCTCTTCCATTTGCATATTGGTACAAGAATACCATAGCAAAAGCTATTAATTTATTATTTTTTAAATTGACAAATAAAAGTACCTTCATAAAACTCGGGGCGCTTCTCCCTACTTGGTGGGAAGTCAATATTTCCAGTTGTTCTGTGCCATAATTGTTTCTCGTGAATAACCGATTTTGTGTTCTACCTTCAACTCGAGCTGACTTGGTTAAATTTAAGATCATTTCTCTTAGCTCAATATTCTCTTTCATTTGAGGACAGGTTCCTGCAAGCTTCCCTGGACAGAGTCTGACTCTTGCTGCTTCCAAGCTCTGGGCTAAGGCGAAGACACCTCCCACCACGTTGGCCACACCAGGATCCTGGACGAAAGGAATATCTTGTAAGCTACTCTGGAGTCCATTGTAACAGGCCGCTCCTCTGCATCTAAACACTTGCTCCCAATATTCTCGAAACCAGATATTTCTGGAGTTCTTCCCAATATCCAAATCTCGAAAATATTCTCGAAAAGCAGGGATGATATTTGTCATTGGTCGGATAGAAAGGATGCCATTTACTTGTTCCGGAAAACGCTGGAACACTTTGAGGTTGTCATAAGTTACCCACACGTATTGACCAACTGCATCAGCCTTCTCTTTGGTTATCATTTGGAGACCTTGGAAGAGGTGTTCCACATGCTCATCTCTCAATAGAAGAACGACCACTCTGATAAACATATACAAAATTTACAGTATTCGAAAGTCAGACATCAGATAATCAAACATACAGTACTACAGATGTTATGTTTGCCTCAGACATTGAAGATTTTCAACATACAGTACTACAGATGTTATGTTTGCCTCAGACATTGAAGATTTTCAACATACAGTACTACAGATGTTACCATTTCAGTTGTGAGGGTGTTATAATGTGACAGTCAATTCCACTTGTCATTGGTAAAAGAGTAGTCCAAGAGTTAGCGGTGTGTGTTGTTTACTAGCTGCCTTCGCTCTAGTATATCACTTCAAAATTAGGGACGGCTAGTGCAGATAGCCTTCGAGTAGCTTTGCGCGAAATTCAAAAGTAAACAAATATATTAGACAGCTAAGTTTGTTACTTTTACAGTTGAGTAAGACATACGTAAAGTGCTGATAGATGTTATGTAGTTTATCACTTTCGAATACTTCGTATTTCATATCTTTACCAAAGTTGTGTTGTGAGGATCTAGTGGTGAAAATTATCTGAGGCAAAAATAACATTTGTAGTACTGTATGTTGAAAATCATCAGTGTCTGAGGCAAAAATAACATCTGTAGTACTGTATGTTTGATTATCTGATGTCTGAGGCAAAAAGCTACTTGAGGATTACCTAATCGTCCCTAATTTAGTTAAAGATAGACTAGAGGGAAGACAGCTAGTCATTACCACCCACCCCCAACTCTTGGGTTACTATTTACCAACGAATAGTGAGATTAACCGTCACATTATAATGCCCCATGGCTGAAAGGACGTTCAGGAACGGGGTTCGAGTCCGGTGCCCTAACCACCAGGCCATTCCAGGTCAAGGACAATGGAAATCTCGTTAATCCACTCATATTAACCACTAATTACAAACAAACAAACTAGTTAAATTTGAGTTTAAAAGTTTAACACAATAAAGATTATTTTGATATTACACTGAGGTTTAAGAGTAAGAACCATTTCCTTCATATAAGAAATGGTGGGTAGGTTAGGGTGGTCACGAGTTCGAATCCCGTCACCGAACATGCTCATGAGCGAAATAAACCCACTGTCCATATCTACTAACTAGAAAAACCACAACCAAGGGTTTGGGGGAGCTCAGGTTTGATTTCTACAAGTGATTCCATGAGCGAAATAAACCCACTGTCACTATCTACTAACTAGAAAAACCACAACCAAGGGTTTGGGGGAGCTCAGTGTGAAAAGGGTTTGATTTCTACAAGTGATTCCATGAGCGAAATAAACCCACTGTCCATATCTACTAACTAGAAAAACCACAACCAAGGGTTTGGGGGAGCTCAGTGTGAAAAGGGTTTGATTTCTACAAGTGATTCCAGGGTTTGGGGGAGCTCAGTGTGAAAAGGGTTTGATTTCTACAAGTGATTTCAACTGGAGATGATTTTGCTGGATGGTAGATAGAGACAGTGGAAATCGTATTAGTGCTCGTCACTAATAAGATGGTGAAACATATGAATACCTGAAAATAGTCACAGTTACAAAGATATGTTTTTGTTTTCATCATACCTGGCTCCAATTTTCCATTTAGAGTCTAACCGTCGGAGGACACGAGACGTCCAGCTACTATCTTCATCTGACACTTTTTCTGTTAGAGCCAACTGTATACGCTGTTTCTCACTTTCTGTTTTAAGGTTCTGGAAGAGGTCTGCATATTGACGATCGGCGTAAGAATACACCACAGAAACGTAGTTCCAGCGAAACAGTTGTAATGTCTTGACCATAGCATCCGCTATCAAGTTATTTGGCAGTGAAAGTCTTAAGAGGTAGTCGTACCAGTTCAAATTGTTAAACTCTGTGGTCCTGTCTTCTAGTCCAATTGTGGTTATTCTTTGAGGAACAGTAAAATCGGCAACAGGCTTCACTACATCATATTGCTGACCAGCAAGAAACCCCATTATATTCTCAAAGTTTCTGGGACCATCTTTAGTGACGGCTAATTTGGGGACAGGTGCTGCCTGGCTAAGAAAGTTCAATATACTTTGCGAGGTCTTTTCGTGACTGCTGCACGTGTCAAAGACCACGCCTCCTAAAGTAACTCCGGGTAAAATTCGAGGGTTCTTATTGATCTGGTCCAGAGCCCACAAGAAAGCTTCCACCTGCTGCAACCCACTGTCCGAATTCAGATCTCCGCATTGCAAGAAATTCGCAGATGATTTATGGATACCAATGGCTGCGGCCAAGTAGAGTCCATCTGGAGAGGTTACTCTAAGGATATTTGGGTTTAGACTAACACAGTTACCACAGTCTACCTTACAATCTGATGGTATTTGTGTCATGGAGATTTCATTTCCTTGGCTTCCGTAGGTTACCATGTTTCCAAATAAATTTAGACCATTATGAAATAACCCGACCTGAAAAACCAAACAGAAAAAAAAAGGTCACTAAATACACACGATTATTTTAAATCTATTTCAAGTAACATTTTTTTTTTTACGTGCTTGAGCCATTTTGAAAAGTTATTTATCTATTTCGTGTATACTTAAGTAATTTCTTACGTTTAGATTAGATATAAGGGTTCACTTATCACCATCATTACTCGACTACTGGTTGATAAGAAAGATGTAAATTCGATCTTAAAACTGTGATAACAATCTATTATATGTTTGTTTTGGGTGTGGTTAGGGCACAGAACTCACGATGGGCTATCTGTGTTCTGCCCATCACGGGTATCGAAACGCGAATTTTAGTGCCGTAAGCCTACAGACCTGCCTCTGAGCCACTGGGAAATTATATGCTACGATATTAATTGGTTGGGTTTATTTACGTGGTTAAACTGATTTAACGTGATATCAACTCCTAGGTTTTATTCACGTGGTTAAACTGATTTAACGTGATATCAACTCCTAGGTTTTATTTACGTGGTTAACTTGATTTAATGTGATATAAACTCGTTGGGTTTATTCACGTGGTTAAACTGATTTAACGTGATATCAACTCCTCAGGTTTATTTACGTGGTTAAATTGGTTTAATTTTATATAAACTCGTCGGGTTTATTTACGTGGTTAACTTGATTTAATGTGATATAAACTCGTCGGGTTTATTTACGTGGTTAACTTGATTTAACGTGATATAAACTCCTAGGTTTTATTTACGTGGTTAAATTGATTTAGTGTGATATCAACTCCTCAGGTTTATTTGCGTGGTTAACTTGGTTTAATGTGATATAAACTCTTCAATTTTATTTACGTGGTTAAATTGATTTAATGTGAATTGCTTTGTTCTCATTTGAGTTAAAACATCGTCTAGATAGATCATAACCTTATTACTATGTTTACAATGGTATTATTTTTGCTAGAATGTTTAATATATGTTCAAAAGTTTTGACGAGTGACGTCACTGTACTTTACTACTACTACTACATAAAAAATATAAAGTTTTTATTTTATTTTAAGAATTCGGGTGGTAACACTTGCATTGATGTAAATCAAACTATATATATATATATATATTGTGTATTAACAGAAAAATAATCATCCAATCAAATCATAAAGTGGGACAGCGGTAAGTCTACGGACTTGCAACGCTAAAATCCGGGGTTCTGTTCCCCGCGGTGGACACAGCAGATAGTCCAATGAGGCTTAGCTATAAAAAAAAAAAACATATCATAAAAATATTGTCATGGTCTTAAGAGCATCATGTAATAATTATTCATTTATTTCTTGTAACATATCAATAGTACCTTTTGATAATTATAGGTGTCGGCGATCCCTTTCCTTAGGGTAAAGATTCCCATCGGAATATCTCCAACTCCATCATTTGCAAACACAAACATTGACTCGTTTTGATTAGGCCTAGCGGAAGCTGTGTACCGGATATATTGGTTGAGTATGTGACGTAAAGATGGCTGACGAAGTAAATGAGGACAAAGCCCCCTTTCGGCATGACATAACTCATTTCTGAAGCGAGCTAAGCCTGAAGCAATCGACAATACAGCTTGGACGATGCTGGTAACTCCAGAATTTGCAATGCATTCTGGGCCAGTACATTTGATGTGTTCCTTCCAATATTCTTGGAACCAAGGATTACGCTTGTTTCCGGTTGGCCTAAGTTGACGAAAGTAAGTCACAAACTCTTGGACTTCTGTTTCTTCTTCCCGAAAAAACAGAGACCCAGCCAATATTTCACCAAACTCAACTACATCCTCGCCCCTACCGTCGTTTATTAGCCAAATAAAGTCACCACGATAAATAATTCCTTCTGAAATAGCTCTCTGTAGTGCAGCATAGAACAGGGTCGAATCATGGTTGTTAAGCCAAAGAATGACTACTTTTGCACCTCGCCTTTTGGCATCTATAAGTTCGTTTATTGCCTTGTTTATTTTGAATTTTCTTACTTCAGGATCACTCGTATCTTCCAGTGAGATCTGAATATCGGTACAGATGGAAGCGAGCTTGGCTTCTTTGGTGAATGTCTGAATACCGAACTGAGTGACGTAATCTGTACTGTGAAGAACAACTACAAATGACCAACCAAAGTACTTCATGGTTTCGATCATCGCCTTAACCCTGACTTTAACCGGAATGGCTATTTGTAAACTATAAGAATTCCCTTTCTCCTTAGTCAGAAGATCCACAGTGGCGACACTGGTGAGATTTAGAGGATTTAATATGGCTTCTACTTTACTAGTTACTTCAGATGACGTGGAACAGACGACAGCCAAAACTGAAGAAATATTGATCTCCTCCAAGTTTCTTGTTTGATTTGCAAGGAAACTGAACAAGCGTTGAGTAACTTTCAGAGACGAACCGCAAGTGTCGATAACGACAGCTCCTAAACTGATTCCTGGAATAAATTGTGGATTACTATTAATTTTGTCTAACATCCACAACGCTGCCTCTAGATCTTTGATAGCTCCATGGTTAATAGAGGTGCTACACTCTAATGGAGTGAGTCCGGAATTATGGATTGGCAAAAGTATTGGAATTATCACATCTGCATTTTCGCTAATCGTTACGAATCCATCAGATTCACCTGCAGATTTTTCTAGCCGACCATTGCGCACCCTAGTGGAAATAATAAGAAACAGTTACTTACACATGCTAATATGCTTCGATTGCAAATACTGTGCGACTATAATTTCACTGAAATAAACTTATACTTTTGAAGAAGCTTCACACGTTAAAATTAAGTTCAAGTTGGCGAAAATTATCCTACCTGAAGATTAACACAGGATGAGAATCCTTCCCAACACGAATGGATTATCCTACCTGTAGATTAACACAGGACGAGAATCCTTCCTAACACGAATGGATTATCCTACATGAAGATTAACACAGGATGAGAATCCTTCCCAACACGAATGGATTATCCTACATGAAGATTAACACAGGATGAAAATCCTTCCCAACACGAATGGATTATCCTACATGAAGATTAACACAGGATGAGAATCCTTCCCAATACGAATGGATTATCCTACCTGAAGATTAACACAGGATGAGAATCCTTCCCAACACGAATGGATTATCCTACATGAAGATTAACACAGGATGAGAATCCCATCTAACACTAACGTAACTCGCTGACATTGAAAACATCAACTTACTTTACACAATGACTACATCCATTAGACGGACACTTGGATGGGTAATATTCGAAACGACTGTCGACCACGTGGGCCCGAATGGTGTCGTAGAACACTAACTGTATAGAAAAAAAAGTAGTTTTATATTCAAGTAACATTTGTACAAATTAACTTAAAAAAATATATTTTCTCGTTCTATATTGGAATAATAAAATTACTTCTAAATACCACTTAGATGGCAGATCCGCGTTTTTGAGCTACGTCATCATAGCATTTTTAATGATACGGATGTTTTTGCTGGTTTTTTTTAAATCAGTAAATAACTTTTATTTGTGAATGTGTGCCCGAAATAAATATGCATTATGTAGATAAATACGCATACAGCCAGACAGACAGACAGTAAAAACACTCTAGGAAGTTCTCTATTGAAGTGACCTTATTTCTGCATATTGACCCCCCATTGGCTCAGCGGAAAGAGTACAGTCTCAAGACACTACAAATCGAGTTTTGATACCCATGGTGGGCTTAAAAAAAACCCAACTCAATCCATTCTGTATACTAAAGACAGGCCTTATAATGATCTTTCTCTATCAAGCACCGCAACTAAATTTCAAACGCTTTATATAGTACAGATAGGGTTCTGTTGACAATGGACCTTCCAAAATTAAACAAAAAAGCTGTTAACAGAGGGACTTCCAAAATGGGTCAAAAAAAAGCTGTTAACAAATTGGCCTACCAAAATGAAAAAAAAGTTGTTAACAGAGGGACTTCCAAAATGGGTAAAAAAAAAAGCTGTTAACAAATTGGCCTACCAAAATGAAAAAAAAAAAGAGCTACTTAGGTCTTGAAGAGAATATAGAATTGGTGATAATGGAAACCTTGGAAAGTTTTCTTGACCTCATAGTACCAGTATTTTAACTTGGCAGAAAAATATAAATCTTACTTGTTACTTAATGATGATAAAAATTTGTGTACATACATTTCAGCTTGTATTTGTGTATTTCACAGTTTTATAAAAGGGACAGAAATCGTCAGTTCGGCCACTGATATTGAATACGAAATGAACAAATTAAGAGGAACGTGCAGCTTAGGAAAATGTTATCATCAATCTCTGCTAATTCAAGTTCATTCACGAGTGAAAATCAATTGTTATCAGCTATTAGAAGAATATTATGAATGTTTAGTTGAGTTAGTTAAAAGAATAACATCTTTTATTCCGGGTTTTAAAGGCCTTGTTTACATTACATAACATGCTTCGACCTTCTAAATTTGGGTCATTATCGGGTGTGGTCAGCTGGCTAAATATTTCAACAACAACAAGAACAAATTTTGTTTACAAACTGGCCAATATTACAGTGTAAGCTGTTCATAGCAC